TTTATGCAGAGCATACCATTTTTCACATCTGCTGTTTTCCCCTCACAGTAATCGTGTGAGAGGCAACAGACAGCACTGGTACTTTTTTTTGTAAGTGTGTGAATTTGGTATTATTAATTTAAAAAACATACATTATGTAACATTTACATTTTTTGGTATACAGTTCTGTGCACTCGTATTTCCTGCATGAGAAAGGCAGCCTTAGAAGGCAAGGCCCGTTGATCTTAGAACTTGTGGGGGGTATTCTAAGTTCTATCTTTTTATGAGGTGTCATGGATTCTAGAGTTTGAGAATGTTTAGACATGGGACAGAAGCGTGGCTTGGTGGCTGGAATGCTGGACAGGCCATTAGGAACCCTTGGCTCTAGGCTGCACCCTTACTAGTTGTGTGAACTTGGAGGTCACACCTGTCTGTGGAGCTCATTTCCATGCGAGGTGGAATCAGACCTAACATTCCGCACGGACCGTTCAGTGCACATGGCCACAAAGCGCGTAACTCCTTCAAAGCCCGTTTCCCACAGTCTCTTCTGTGGGAAAGTATCTCTTCAGATTTTCCACACCACAAAGGGACCTGAGTTTGGAAAAGATATCAACTCAATTCTCCTCTGGAATATCCATATCAAATATCAGCAGAGGCAAGGATCTGAAAAGTTCTGTCATAAAGACATCATTGCTTCCGTTTAACCCACAGATTTCTTTTTTTTTTTTTTTGGTGGGGGTGGGAGGGCGGAGTCTAACTATCACCCAGGCTGGAGTGCAGTGGCGCGATCTCGGCTCACTGCAAACTCCGCCTCCCGGGTTCACGCCATTCTCCTGCCTCAGCCTTCCAAGTACCTGCGACTATAGGCGTGCGCCACCACGCCCAGCTAATTTTTTGTATTTTTAGTAGAGATGGAGTTTCACCATGTTAGCCAGGATGGTCTGGATCTCAATCTCCTGACCTTGTGATCCGCCTGCCTCAGCCTCCCAAAGTGCTGGGATTACAGGCGTGAGCCACCGCACCCAGCTTTAACCTAGAGATTTCTAAACTCACGGCACCGGGGAACCCCTGTCTGGGCCCGTACCTACTAAAGTCTCTCTGAGCTTGGGTTCTGAAGCACATGGCTTTGAAAATGCTTGTTTAAGAGGCAAAGGAACTACTAATTTTAAGAAAGAACATGAAGAGGTTGAATCAGCGCTTGGCTTCCTATGGGCTTTTTTTTTTCGGAAGTAGACCAGCACCTGAGAGACACTAAGGGCTTGGAGCCCTGGGCGCCCCTGCTTGCAGTGTCTGGTGGTGGTAGTTGGGGAGGGAGTGGATTTGAACACGAGCTCCACCATGTGATTCTAGGAAGAGCATAGCAGGTTGGGCCAATCTTCTGGCACACAGTGCATTAAAATGCCACCTTCCAGGCTGAGCCTGAAAAGCCCCCTATTAAATGTGACAAGGCAGACGGGTGCCTGCAGGGTGGCCGTGTTCCGGAAGCCATGCACCAGCTGCTGGTGACTTATGTTTCCTGTTCTGGAGCCGGAGAAACATGCACGCCAGCTTGTGGGTGCTTCCTGGATGTGCAGAGCCCGGGCCTCTTTTTCCCATTGGTCCTGGAATGCCATCAAGAGGCTTGGTGAGTTTCCTCCCTGGGGATGCACACATCTCTTTTAGGATACAGATAGGTCGTGGGGCCTAGGAGCAACTTACCTTGAAGCATCTTCCTCCAGAGACCCTCCTGCTGAAGAACAGGATGTGCCTTGTCACACTGCTTTTCCTCCACTCCCAGCTGTGACGTCTTTCTCTCCATCTTCACCCATTCATCTGTCAGGAATCAGTTCAGTCACCCAGACAGCCAGCCTGGCTGTGTCCAAGATGCCAGAGAGGCAGCAGTGAAGAAAACAAAGTCCGTTGCCTCCGTGGAGCTCACGGTCTAGTAAAGACAAGTTTACTATGCAAACTCCAGGCAGTGCCGTCCCCACCAACACCCGTGTCATGCGTCCCTGGGGAGTTGTGTCCCGCACAGCCAATGGGGTAACACGCCAAAGCTGTGATTCCGGTGCGGCAAGTCACATTTTAGACAGACCTAGAAATACATAGTCTGCCAGATGTGCTGTAAGTACTATGAATACATAAAACGGGTAAGGGATGTAGGGTCAGCTGGTGGGGTGGTGGCGTGTGTTGTCCCAAACGGGGCAAGTTGAGGGGACAGCACTCAGATAAGTAACATCAAGCAGGGCCCAAAGGAAGTAGGAGCAGGAAGACTGCCAGGATCCTGGGACTCCAGATGAACTGGGGTCTCGCTGCCCGTGGCTTTCACTCTGAGGGAAATATGATTCTGATGCAAGAAGCTTTGGGCAGCTAACTGCATGATGTGTTTCTGATTCCTTAGTTTGGGTTAAACTCTTCTTCTCTGGGCTTGCAGGGCATTGTGGCGGATGCTATAAGACCATGGGACCTGGTCCAGGGGAACACTGAAGTGCCTTCTGTACACTTCCTCAGATGGCCTTTGCAAGATCAAGCTCTAGTTGCCCACAGTGCTAGCCAGGTCAATATGCACTCTATTGAACAGGATACCCTCCCTGCAGTCCCTGGAACCACCTCCCAGATGCACCACTTGCCTCCAGGTTCTTGAGTGAGGCTCTGCTATCAGAGCACCACCTACTGTGGGTTGTTCTTGTCAGTTTACTTTTTTTTTTTTTTTGAGACGGAGTCTCGCTCTGCGCTCGCTGGAGTGCAGTGGCACCATCTCGGCTTACTGCAAGCTCCACCCCCCGATGCAATGAGCTATGATCATGCCACTTTACTCCAGCCTGGGTGATAGAGCAAGACTCTGTCTTGAAGAAAAGAAAAAAGAAAAGGAACACAAATTAACAAACATTAATAATAAAAAAGAGTGCTTAGTGTTTTCATGCAAAGAATGGGGCACTCCTTTTGGAAAGGAGTTTGGTCATCTTTATCAAGCGCTGTAAATAAGGTTTATGTCGTTTGCCCCAGTTGTTAAGCTTCTGAGAGCCTTGCCTAACAAATCATTCAAACTAAGGAAGGAGTTTTATGCACAAAAATGTTTTTTGCAGCAATACATATCACTGTAAAAACCAGAAAATAACTTCAGTAACCAACAATGGGGGAATTATTAAACAATTTATTATGTATCCCTAAGATGGAATATTTTATGATTATTTTAAAAATATAGTCATGAAGCGGGGGGGTCAGGCGCAGTGGCTCACGCCTGTAATTAATCCCAGCACTTTGGGAGGCTGAGGCAGGCAGATCATGAGGTGGGGAGATCAAGACCATCCTGGCTAACACGATGAAACCCCGTCTCTACTAAAACTACAAAAAATTAGCCGGGCATGGTGGCGGGTCCCTGTAGTCCCAGCTACTCAGGAGGCTGAGGCAGGAGAATGGCGTGAACCCAGGAGGTGGAGGTTCACGCCAAAGGCCCTGTCTCCAAGATCGTGCCACTGCACTCCAGCCTGGGCGACAGAGGGAGACTCCGTCTCAAAAAAAAGAAAAAAAAGTATATGTATATATATACATAGTCATGAAGAATGTGCGGCAAGTTGGGATGTGATTATGGTAAAATGCAGGAAGGACAGAATTGTGTTCTTTTTGGTTCCCATAATATTCTGGTTTCTGACTTGCATATCATTCCCTCCGCCCGGAACACTCCATATGGTGAAGCTTTGTTTGTGTTTATGCATAAACATGTTTATGGCTGAGTTCCATTCTGGAATGGTATTGACAAATAGAAGAGGGTTGAAAGCCTAGGTCTGTGCCCTTAGGATAGGCTGGGGGATTGAAAACGCCCTTTGGAGAACATCATCTGAATACATGAATATTTATATAGACATATTCATACAGTCCTGTTTGTGTGTGTGTGTGTTTATCCGCCTTCCTCTAATGACACATCCATTTATCTATCTATAGTCATACAGAGTGTAGATATAGGAAATACAAATAGATTGTTTTTTAGACTTATTTTCTGGGTCTGCGCTTTCTCTGCCCAACCCCCCAGATAAGGTTGGCAGCGCTTTTGCTTGGCTTCCATGGCAGGTCCCCAGTCTTCTCCTCTTCAACCCCACATACCCTATGACTTGATAAACATCTGTCTCTCCATCTGTCAACCCCGGAAAGCAGATTCCAGCTCTATGCCTGGTCTCCTCTGGCACTCAGAGCATCAGTTGGTAGCTGATCGGTGCTTGGATGAGTGAGCAGATGTGTGCACTGTGGGGAAGAAAACAGAGGAAAAAGGGTGGGGAGACATCAGAATGTCAACCGGGAGTTATACTGGGAAAGTGGGGTTTTTAGTCTCTTCACTATCTTTTAAAATGTCTCTCAGTTGATCATTATCATATGTAATAATACCTTGATAACTCCCTGTTCTACAAATGACCCAGTTTCTTCAACAAATGAATGACATTCAAAAGGGAGGAGGGGCCAGTGCAGATGCCGACAGAGACTGCCGAGATGATGAGGCAGGTGTGCTATGGGGTCTGGTATGGCTCTTGATTCAAACCTTCCAACTACAAAAAGACATCCATGAGTCAATCAAGGAACATTGAACAGGGCCTGATTATTGACTGATAGGGAAGCTATTAAATTAATTGGGTTCGTTGGGATAATGGATTCTGGTTTTGTTTCTTTAAAAAGTCTTTACCCCTTTCCTGTTTAGAAAAAAAAAAAAAAAGTGCATCTTGCTGCCCACACTCATTTCTCGGGGCAAACGGGAAGTGGGTTAGCAGTGAGAGAGATCTAGTAAAGTATTTCTAGGTGGAAAGATGCAGTGCTTGGACTTTGTTTTAAAACATCTCAGCAAAAACAAAACAAAGTGAGAGGGGAGAAAGGTGAAAGGAGAACGGGAAGTGTTGGATAGAGAAGTATTGAAGCTGGTGATGGATCTGGGATGGGGGAAGTTCAATGCCTTTACTTTTGAAAATATTTGATAATTCTTTCATTAGAAATTAAAAAGAAAAAAATTTCTCCTGGCTTTTCTCCAAGGAACCTTAATACTTTGCCTTGCTTTGCAGAGTGACCGACTCCTCATCAAAGGTGGACGGATCATCAACGATGACCAGTCCCTTTATGCTGACGTCTACCTGGAGGATGGACTTATCAAGTGGGTTGATCAAAACAGACCTTTTAAGAAACCTGTGTCGCCAGGCTGCCTGGCCTTAGATGGAACGGAAGGCTGGCATTCTGCCCTAGAATGACAGGGCTGTGTACCTGTATTTCAGGGGTAGAGACCTCACAGAGGTTGGGGGAGGTGCACACTGTGGGTGGACAAGGGGCTGGCATTTCTCAGGTGCCCCCCTGGGCTAGGCTCCCTGCCACATAGCTGAGGCAGCTCCTCTCATGCAATGCTCACACAAAAGCTGCAAAATGCAGACATGTTTCCTGTTTTGTGGTTTTGGAGGCAGCAGGCCAATGAGTCTGGGTACCTGGCCCCATATGATGGGGTGAGTTAGGGTCAAGGCCCGGATTCCACCCTAAGACAACTGAATTCACAGCTCTTCCTTCCACCTACCCACAGTTTCTGGAATTGGGTTGAGGGGAGCAGGGAGGAAGGAGGAATGTGTGGCTTCCAAGCCCGGCCTTGGCACTTAAAGAAAAGATGGATGTTGGGGCTGGAGTTTCCTTTACTTTCTTCTCATTGGCTCCCTCTTCAGTCCTGCTTACGACAACCCAGGTGTCTTAGCCAGCTCTGGCTGCCGGAACAGAATGCCACAGGCTGGGTGGTTTAAATAGCTGCAGTTTATTTCTCACAGTTCTGGAGGCTGGAAGTCCCAGATCAAGCGGCCATCAGGGTTGGTTCTTCCTGAGGCGTCTGTCCTTGGCTTGCAGACACCACCTTCTAGCTGTCCTCGGGCCCTTTCTGTGTGTGTGCACGCTCCTGGGGGCTCTTCTCCTAAGGACACCAGTCTTGTTGGATTCTGGCCCCACTCTTGTGGCCTCATTCAACCTTAATCACCTCCTTAAAGGCCCCGTCTCCAAAGGTAGTCCCATGGGGGTGGGCTGGGGCTTCAACATAAATTTTGGGAGACAAAATTCTGTCCATAATGCCAAGCAGGGGTCTGTAGGTGGCCTTCCTTTTTTTTTTTTTTTTTTTTTTTTTTTTTTTGAGACAGAGTCTCACTCTGTTGCCCAGGCTGGAGTGCAGTGGTGCAATCTCAGCTCACTACATACAACCTCCGCCCCCCGGGTTCAATCAACTCCCCTGCCTCAGCCTCCTGAGTAGCTGGGACTACAGGCATGCACCACCATGCCCGGCTAATTTTTTGTATTTTAGTAGAGATGGGGTTTCACCGTGTTGGCCAAGATGGTCTCGATCTCCTGATCTCGTGATCCACCTGCCTCAGCCTCCCGAAGTGCTGGGATTACAGGTGTGAGCCACCGCGCCCGGCTGGCCTTAACATTTTACTGGTGGGTGAGGATCGGTACAGTTCTCCTTCTGTGAGTTGTACCCTGGATTTGCTGGGTGCTCAGCCTCTTCCCTTGAAATCTGGAAGAGGAGAGAAGGACACTGTTTCAGGATCCAGCATGAGTGGTTGGCACAAGAAGGAAAGGCAGAGGGGAATTGGAGCTAGGGGAAGGCAGAAAGGGATTGATACCATTAACAGAATCATCCTGGGGCTCGTGTGGGCTTTGGGTATGATGATGCAGGAGGAGGAGGAGGAGGCTGGGGGAAAGGGGCTGTGGAGTATTGGGGGCATTGAAAGAGACTACATATGCAAATCACCCAGCGAAGAGGGGTACCCAGAACAGTTGAGCCCTCCCTGCCTCCCCCTAGCTCACCCCCCAGTTGTAGTCCTAAACTTTGACCATTTCAAGTCCAGCTCGGGCCTCCCCTCCTCTGGCTTCATTCCTTGCTTACTCTTCTGGCCATAATGAAAACTTGGGACTCACAGGACTTGCCAGGCTGCTGTCACCTCAGAGCCTTGCACCCATCAGTCCCCTGCCTGGAACGCCTTTTCTCCCTGCCCCTGTGCCTTCCCCTCATCTCTTGTTTGTCCTTGTGGGCCCAGCTCATGTGACTCCTCCTCCAGGAAGCCTTCCTTGACCCCAAGATGGTGTGGGGTGCATCCCTCCGTCCCCAGAGCCCGTGAGCTGCTGTCTGTTGCAGCCCTCGTCACACTGCATTGCTCCTTGACCAGGGCCTTGCCTCGTGGCCCCCACCCTGGGGCCCAGCACCAGGCCTGCGGAGTAGGTCCTGGAGCGCCAATTCAGAGAAAGCATAAACAAATGAATGTTGGCCATCAGGTGGTGAGGATGCTCCTGTCAGCTGCAGGGCACCTGGATCCCGAATGGTTAGGAAGGCAGATGGGGGGTGGGGAAGGGTGTCAGGATGCGTCAAAAAATGAGGTTTTCTAACTCAACCATGGCTTAGATATAGAGAAAGCAACTCCGAGGGAGCACCCCTTTGTGTGGGGGTTTTGGGCTTCTGGAGCCTGAAAGGTAAAATGACCCTTAGAATGATCTCGTGGGCTCCCTGCTCCCACACACCACCTGCTGCTTTGATCTGACCACATCCACGCCCGTCCTTCCCGGGCCAGGCCCCCTTGTAGAGGGCCTGCAATCCCAGGGGGTATACAGATGGAGCAAGTGGCCATGGGTTGAGCTGCATTCATTAAGTGCCTGCTGTATGTATGAACATCAAGAATCCTAGGACTCCGGCTAACCTGGCTGTTGAGGAAATATGCAGTTTCCCTAAATTCATTATCTGTCAGCCCCTCTTGGTCGTAAACCCCTTTTACTTGAATCCGTTGCTGACAAGCTCTCTGAGTGTCAGCAGTTCTCCTCTGGCCTTGTGAAGCTGAGCGAGTGACAGTGACCGAGGCCTCACACGGCCCTCGGGTGTTTCTTCTGAATGTGCATCCTGCAGGCGGAGAAGGGTAGGTGTGGAAGAGCCAGGGACCAGCTGTGCTCACCCCAGGGACCACCTGGCACGCAGAGGCACAATTATTCTCCTCCACTTTAATTAAACCCCAAGAATCCTTTAATTTTGTGGCCATTTGCCAAGTTTTGTTAAGAGCCACTCAGCTGTCGTGATTCATTGGATTATGATTCATCGGGGTTTCCATTTAATTCACTTAGCCTTGGTGAATCAGGTGCCGGTGGTTGAGAGTTTCTTCTGCACTGTGGGGTGATGGTGTTGGGGGAGGGGCATCTGTCTCATTCACTGAGCTGAGCTTCCTGTCTCCTCTTTCCCTTTCAAGCACGTTGCTATTGAGCACCATTCAGTGAGTCCCGTTTAGTTTAATCCCAGTTCAGGGAGAATCTGGCTTCTATATACGGGAAGCAGGGCAGCAGTAAAGCCCGCTGGTCAGAGCTCTGATCTTAGTCTTGAGTAGACCTGGGCTTAAATCCAGGCCCATCACTGACTTGCTGGGTGGCTTTGGATGAGTCACTACACCTCTCTGAGTTGTGTTGTCCTCTTTTGCAAAATGGGAATACCTCCTACCTCACAGGGCTGCTGGCGGGAGACCAGAGAGGGTTTGTTAAGAGGCTATGATTGTGCCTGGTAAGAAAGAGCCTCTGGCTGCAGAGATGGCACTCATTGTTGAACATTAAGCATCTTAGGACTGTGGCCAACCAGGCTGCTCAGGAAATGTGCTATTTCTTTAAAAAAAAAAAGAAAGAAAGAAAGAAAAGCCAGGCATGTTTGCTCAAACACTTTGGGAAGCCAAGGCAGGAGGACCCCTTGAGCTCAGGAGTTCCAGATCAGCCTGGGCAACATAGGGAGATCCCATCTCTACAAAAAAATAAAAAACAAAATTAGCTGGGCATGGTGGTATACATGCCCGTAGTTCCAGCTACTTGGGAGGTTGAGGCGGGAGGATCGCTTTGAGCCCAGCAAGTGAGGCTGCAGTGAGCCATGACGTGCACTACTCTACTCCAGCCTGACTGACAGAGATCCTGTCTCAAAAATAAATAAAAGAACCTCTCATCAGAGTACTTGTTGGCC